TTACTGCATGTACACACGTACTTATACACATTACTGCATGTACACATGATGTTCCTGATGCCCAGAGGATGAATCTGTCTGATGTCAGTACTCATGACCTTTTCTACAGCGCCACCACTGGTAAGGTCCTACAGTAGTTGTTTCCAGCTGCTACAAATACAACTTGACCTGAAGCATCTTTTTGTGGTTCCTCTTTTTGTGTTTTGTTGTTTGTAGGAAGAAGTTAGTTGTGAAACTGCAGACTGTTGAAGAAGCCTTGGAGGCGTCTCAGGCCAGGAACTCCTCGCTGGACAAAACCAAGCAGCGTCTGCAGACTGAGATCGACGACCTGGTGGGGGAGCTGGAGCGATCCAATGCTGCCGTTCTGGTTCTGGACAAGAGGCAACGCAACTTTGACAAGGTTGGTCCGAAACACCAGCCGATCTCTGTGAGGCGTGACCCTGTAGACGAGGACGGAGGCTGGATGAGCTCACAAATAAGGTTGTGTGTTGCTTTGATGCAGCTGCTGAGCGACTGGAAGCTGAAGTTCGAGGAGAGTCAGACGGAGCTGGAGGCGTCGCAGAAAGAGTCTCGCAGTCTGAGCACGGAGCTCTTCAAACTGAAGAACTGCTACGAAGAAGCTCTGGACCATCTGGAGACGGTTAAACGAGAAAACAGGAACCTGCAAGGTATCGTTCCCCATTCCACTAACACACAGATACCTCAGTGCTCTGTGGACTCAAGGTTCAGGTCTGAAGGCATTCAAGTCACGAATCTGGAGAGTTTCCTTGAGACGGCAGATGTTTGTCACAAATGTTTGACATAAAGGGCAGCATCCCAGATCTTTCCGTCTTTCTGTTCCACTGGAGATCCAACAGCTTCACTATGAAGTCAGAGTGACCGGAACAAACAGTAGTGACTGGATGTAACTGTAGTTCTACGTAGGAAACAGAACGATGGAGGTCTGTGACTTTGAGTTAACATGGCGTCCAAGCTTCTGCCAAAATAAAGACAAACGACTGAAAGAGTCGATTAGGGTTCATTCCTGTAAACTCAACTCACCTGCTTTGGGTTCCTACAGTAGAACCATCTAACAGCTCAGAACATTCTGAATGTCCTTCTCTTCCATGGCTCTGATTCCAGAGGAGATCCTGGACCTGACGGATCACATCAGTCAGGAAGGGAAGACCATCCATGAGCTGGAGAGGATGAAGAAGATCCTCAATGTGGAGAAGAGTGACATCAAAGCTGCTCTAGAAGAAGCAGAGGTAACTACCTGCTGCCGTTTGTACCTGTCAGCTCTCCGTTATCTCACCTGTTGACTCACCTGTACCTGCCAACTCCTCCCATCAGGGAACCTTGGAGCACGAGGAGAGCAAGACGTTGAGGTTTCAGATGGAGCTGCAGCAGATTAGAGCTGAGATCGAGCGCAAGATTGCAGAGAAAGATGAAGAACTCGACAACCTCAGGTAACAAATACGGAAAGAACCAACTCAGAGGTGGGGCAGTATTAGAATGGAGAGCACCAGCCAATCAGGCACGAGCATCAGGTAAGGACCTCTCACCTGCATGAACCTGAGTAGTAATTCCAGTGTCGTCCACCAGGCGGAGCCACCAGCGCTCCCTGGAGACGATGCAGGCCAGTTTGGAGGCAGAGGTTCGTAGTCGCAGCGAGGCGGTCCGTCTGAGGAAGAAGATGGAGTCGGACCTGAACGAGATGGAGGTTCAGCTGGGCCACGCCAACCGGCAGGCGGCCGATAGCCAGAGGATCATCAGACACCTGCAGACACAGGTAATCTCAGCCGACCTGGTCCAGTCTCACTGATCAGGAAACTGCAGATGATTCTCTGGATCACTACGCTGTCATGAGTCACGTTCACGTCAAAACTCAGCACAAATGTTAACAGAACTTTTTGAGATCTGAATGAACGCATTTCCAGACAAACAGCAGGTGGCGCTCCTGTCTGTTCGGTTAAACCACCACAGAAGAAGACAATGGCATTTGAAGCTAAAACAGAAGAAAACCTGGTTGAATGTTGCAGCACCAACAGTGCCCCCTGGTGATGACAGCATGTGGTTTCTGTCGCAGGTTAAAGAGCAGCAGGTGGACCTGGAGGACAAAGTCCAGCTGACCAATCAGCTGAAGGAACAGATCGTCCTATTGGAGCGGCGCTGCTCACTGATGACGGCGGAGGAGGAGGAGCTCCGCGGCGTCCTGGAGCAGACCGATCGCGTCCGCAAGATGGCCGAACACGAGCTGGTGGAGGTGGCAGAGAGGGTCAACCTGCTCACCACACAGGTACAGATGTACAGGTGGAGGTTCAAAGAGTTCAACCTCTGAAGGACATCATCACATCTGTCACACCACCATCCAATCATCAGCCTCCTCACACAGAGACGGTACTACAGGTCCGATTCTAGAGCTTTGATCTGATCTCAGCTATTTAATATTCAGCATCTGCCAATCCCACGTCCCAGGCAGAGAGCATTGTGGGAGTTTAGCAGCAACTGGACCATGACAGAGACACTGAGGAGGTTCAGGACCTCCAAGCAGCAGCTCTATGGTGCACCACGGCAGGATCAACTAGAACATGGTCATATTGTCTGAGTGGTGAATGTGGCGGCTTCGTCTGCAGGCGCCCAGTGGACTGAATGTGTACAAGTTACTGACTGACTGCATTTATTCAGACTACTGAGGACAGCACCTGTGTGGCAGCAGAACAAACCAGGATGGATCAGTTAGGAGCTGATATCTGCTGTACAGATGGACCGGCTGGCTGATCGGCTGTCCCTTGTGTCTCCAGAATGCAGGTCTGGTGAACCACAAGAGGAAGCTGGAGGCGGACCTGTCCCTGCTGACCGGGGAGGTGGATGAAGCTCTGCAGGAGAGTCGCAGCGCCGATGAGAAGGCCAAGAAGGCCATCACCGACGTCAGTCCTCAGATCTGAGCCACACCAGCCCAACACGGCTTTGATTCCTCCCTGCTGGACTGTTCAGCTGAATCCTGTTTCCGTGTGTCCCACCAGGCGGCTGTGATGGCCGAGGAGCTGAAGAAGGAGCAGGACAGCAGCAGCACGCTGGAGAGGATGAAGAAGAACATGGAGTCGACAGTGAAAGGTACTAAACTCTGGTGGTGAGTCCTCAGAGTCCAGCAGGAGCAGCAGAACTTATCTGTTGGTCTTCGTCCAAGAGGCCTGGTGAGGAGCTCCAGGTTAATCATCATCCCAACACTCACATGGTTCAGGGTGAAGGCTGGAAGCTGCCTGGTAGGATCTCAGCACCATGTACAAAAGATCCTCCCCCACAGTTTGATGACCATCCAAACCTTCACTCCTCACCTCCACTAACAGCCATCCCTCCACAAGTAGGTTCATCATCATCTGCTTTGATGGACGGTCAGCACCTCGAGGCATCTCTGTTTTGTTTTTGTAAGTTATTTTTTGGCCTTTGTGCCGTTATTTATATCGAGTAGTGAGAGAGAGGGACGGGGAAGTGGGAGAAGAATGTGGGAAAGGGTCATGAGTGGGATTCGAACTCATGACCTCCACATGGGGACTGTAGCCCTGCACCTGGGACGCCAGCTCCACCAGGTGAGCTGTAGCGGCGCCCCGGCGTCTCTGTTTTAAGGCACTGACTCCTCTCCAGGCAGCTTCCATTAAACATTAAACTAACCTGAACCCAAGGCGGCTTCACAGATGTTCACGGTGAGTCCCGTGTTCGATGTCATGTGATGTCAGTGAGAACAAACACCTGAAGCTCCTCACCTGGCAGTTTGAAGTGGATGAAGGTGACACATCTTCACAGAGTCCACGGTGGTTCTGCAGTGGTTCTGTTTGATCACAGTTAAACGGTAAACGTCCACATGGTGCATCCAGCTGGAGGAAAGAATCCGGTTGTTCTGGAAGATCTGGTTCAGTCCAAACAGCAGCTCTTAGAAACGTGTTGTCACATATGTGTGGTACCGGCTCTAGTTCAGGTGAAGGAGCTTCAACGGAAACTAACCTGCTGCAGATTGAAGCTGCTTCATGTTGACGCTTTGGTTCTGACAGAACTGCAGGTGAAGCTGGACGAGACGGAGCAGATGGCTCTGAAGGGAGGAAAGAAGCAGCTTCATAAACTGGAGACCAGAGTGAGTCGAACATGTGAGCAGGTCTGATGTGATGTGAACGCTTGTGTTGAACCTCTGAGCTCCAGCAGCAGGTTCTGTGGCCTCACGCTGTCGGCTCACTGCTGCTGCTGGGCTTCAGGGAGATGAACAGAAACAAAGGAGATGATCATGAGCTGAAGCTGCTGTGTCCAGGTGAGGGAGCTGCAGACGGAGCTGATGGTGGAGCAGAAGAAGAGCGAAGAATACCAGAAAGGAGTCCGACGCTACGGGAGGAGAGTCAAGGAGCTGACGTACCAGGTCTGTCCAGGTCTGCTGCTGCTGCTGCTGCTGCTGCACGTGTTCTGCAGGTTCTGTGGTTCCTCATTGGTTCTCTCTGTGTTCCTGCAGTCGGAGGAGGACAGGAAGACTCTGCTGAGGATGCAGGAGCTGATCGACAAGCTGCAGACCAAAGTCAAGAGCTACAAGAGACAAGTGGAGAACGCTGTGAGTGGTTAGAGCATCAGAAACATCTCAGGTTCTCCACTAACGAAACTATCTGACATGAATGCTGAATCAAATCATGTTGTGTGTCGTGTAAAAGTTCTCATAGGTTTGGTTCTCAGCAGGAACCTTCAGGTTCTCACCAGTGTTCAGATAAAACTGTAGGCGGCCAACTTTAAAGTTCTGATGAACTTTAGCTGCTCCCTCACTCGTCTCCTTCTGGTAGCTCCTCCAGAGGAGTCACAGCAGTCAGATCATGTTCCACGTTCCTTCCACTTCTTCATGATGGACTTCACTGTTTTCTACAATCACTGACTCTGGACATTTGGAGAAAAACGGATGGTTGGACAAGCTGTTGCTCTTCTGTTTGTCCACCAGGAGGAGCAGGTGAGCTGCAGCGCCGTTCGTTTCCGGAAGGTTCAACACGAGCTGGACGACGCCGAGGAGAGAGCCGACATGGCTGAGACGACCGTCAACAAGCTGCGGATTCGAACCCGTGAACAAACCACGAAGGTGGCCGTGGTGAGTCCCGGTACCGTCCATCCTGGTTCTGCTGGTGGACCTGGACGTTGTTAACGGGATGTTTGTGTCTCCACAGATCGCAGAATGAAGCTCGGCGCCATCTTCAGACTCCATCAGTGTTTGTGTTTCTGCTGTTTGCTGTGTTTTGGTGTGTTTCTGGTGGACGCTGCAGCGCGACAGACGCCTGGAGCTGCTTTTATTTAGTTTTGTGACTGAAGCATGACGAGCTGGTCTGCAGGGAGGTGGTACCGACAGCAGCAGTCCCATCAGATCTGATCAACTGACAAACGAGACAACACGTTCTGCAAAGACTCTCATAAACGTGACGAGATGACGACTTTACTTTGTGGATCTTTGTCTTCTCTGGAAAATATCTCACTGAGGAAAGTGAATTCAGTGTTTTAATGATTTTAAAGACCTAAAACTAAAACTAAACAGCACTTGAGGAATGTAGGAGGCTTTGAAGTGCTGTTTGCTTCCTTAACGAGGGCAGCAGCTAAGACGTGTTAAATGATCCAATCTAACAGAAATCATCTTGATTTAAGACCACTCATTACAAAAGAAGACTTTTTTGGTGCTCAGTATTAAAGGTCTGATCAGATCTAATAATAATGGACTCGCTGCTCTCAGTCGGACTGCAGGCTGTTTGTTAGGACGTAAGACGTCGATGAATTCGAGGCTGGACTGTTTCATCATTTGGATGAAGAAAAAAGAGAAGAAACATCTGAACGCTCAACACAAAGTCACCGACAGCCAATAAGTTTACATGTTGCATGCTATTTAGGGATGTTTCTGATGTTAGCGGTGAAGTAAAAGGTTTTGCGTGTTGTGTGAAGGCGTTGTTGTTTGGTTCTCCAGGTAGCAGCAGGAACCTTCAGGCTCTCCTGTAGACAGTCGTTGGTAGATTAAAACAAGCTCTGGTAAGCCACAGACACAGCTAGAGACCAGCTGGAGGAG